AAAATTCCTGCCACGACTTATGTATGAAACTGGCATTTTGTTCATGCATAAGAAAAGTCATAAGAAACAAGTATTCATTATTTTTCCAGCATGATAACATGTCACAAAGTTCAAATCATCTCAAACTGGTTTCTTACATTTTACTGTAGTTTAATGTACATAAAATAACTTTCACAGTCCATCGTGTGCATGTGTGGCAACAGGAGATTCACGTCACAGATCTGCTGACGACAAATCCGCAGCAACTTTGCGTCATAATGGACCAAAAATCTTTGAGGAATGTTTCGGTTCCACATTGATTTTAAACCACGAATGAATGCAAAACGTTGTCCAGCCCAATATGTTAGGCATCGTGTTTAGGCATCAAATATCCTTTGATTAAGGAGAATATTTTCATCTTCTGTCATGAGGACATGTTAACTTGCCATTACCAATTTTCTAACCAAAGCCACAATCTTTTCTCAATATTATCCAAGAGTTCTGATTGCTTGAACAAAACCATAAAAATTTTAATTACGGAAAAGAAGGAAATGTTCTTGGATGTGTATCTTCAAACAATGTGCAGATGGGGGCGAGACAGCTAAAGACACTGGGAAAAAGAAAAACATTGCTTTCTCTTTTTTACATTTCTTTTAAGGTCTTTCCGTAAAAACTTGAAAAGTAAACATTAATAGCGAGCATTACACTGCAATGATTAGGGTGTCACTAAGTACTGTAACTTTAAAACAGAGTGGCATGTTTACAGTGAGCTACCTGTGCGGTCAGCCCACGAGCACTACAAGCAGCAGGGGAGCAATTAGGAGTCAGCTGACCTCTTATTACATTTAAGCTAATTGAGCTGTTTGTTAAGACTGCTCTGTGCTTCAGAAGCACCACACTGTTTACTGTCTGAATACTCCACAAACAAACACACTAGCTCAGCCTCCCACACGCACCTTCATCTGCTTGGAAAGAACTATTATTTCTCTACCCAGTCACTCACCCACACACAGGCACGAACCACAAACCTACAATGAAACAAACAATGCACATGCCACTGTTGTCAGATGAAAAGCTTGTGAATTAACATTTTCCAAAAGAATGGATTTGTAAGAACTTGGAAAAACGTTTTGTTTGTTCAACAAACGGAGCCAATTCATGAAGAAATGTGCAGTCCCTCACTTGAAAGTTACCAACATTTCATAAGTGTTGGTTCTCGTTGTGAGAAATATTGCTTGCTTGTGTGTGTGTGTGTGTGTGTGTGTGTGTGTGTGTGTGTGTGTGTGTGTGTATTCAGTAGGCTGTTTAAGCAGCAGATGCAAGTTTAGCATCCAAACCAATTCTCCCTCCTCAGAAAACTGAATGGCAGTTTTACAGCAAGTGTAAAAATTGAACCCATATGGTTGTTTGTTATGTCATCTTCCAAACAAAGTTACGCATAAATATACACGACTTTGTCTAGGTGTGTTATGAATGATGGCAGAGTAGAGGAAATCAAGCCAACACACGAAACAGTCAGCTTGACCTCACACCCACACAAACACGCGGCACATGCTCTTCTTTGCCCCGAGCCCACTGAATTTAATGAAATAGCTGCTTGACACAGACATGAAGGAGGTTAAATCTGTCAGCATGCAGTCACTGAACGAGCTGACTTTGGCCCCAAGATCTTGTTTGAAGGAAAGGGTGAAAAGAGAAAGAAGAATGCTGCTCTTTTCAATTCAGTTCAGTTTTATTTATATAGCGCCAAATCACAACAGCGGTTGCCTCAAGGCACTTTATACTGTGAGGTAAATACCCTACAATAATACAGAGAAAACCCCAACAATAAAATGGCAACAGTGGGAAAGAAAAACTCTCTTTTAACAGGAAGAAACCTCCAGCAGAACAAAGCTCAGGGAGCAGTGGCCATCTGCCGGTTTTATCTGTTTATTTCTGCGGTTTTAAAGAAGGCCCAACAGCGTCTCCACTTTCTGAGAATCCTCAGAAAAATGGACCTGAAGAAGGAGCTGTTGACCGTCTTCTACCGCTGCTCCATTGAAAGTGTGCTGACATATTGCATCGGTGTGTGGTTCTCCAGCTGCACCACAGCACAGAGAAAGGTCATCAATATGGCCCAAAAAATCATTGGACATCCTCTTCCCTCCCTGAAGGACCTGTACAGCACTCGCTGTCTCAAGAGGGCACGCAGCATCCTACGGGACTGCACACACCCAGGACACGGGGTGTTTAAGCTGCTGCCATCTGGCAGGAGGTTCAGGCTGCTGAGGTCCCGAACAAATAGACTCAAGGACAGCTTTTACAACAGGGCAACAGCCCTGATCAATGCAAATAGCTGACCTGACTGGCTTTTTTTATTACTAAGTTATTATACTGTGTTGTGTTTTTTGTGTTGTTTGTGTTGCGTTGTGATGCGTCGTATCGTGTCGTGTTGTGTTACATGTAGTGCCGACGTAGGACAGTTTTCCAATTTCATTGTACTATTGTACTATGTATGACTGTGCAATGACAATAAAGAGTTATCTTATCTTACATAACCAAATAACAATACAGTTGGCCTTTGTAAGTGTAGAAATATTCCCAATTGTCAGTCTAATTATCCTTTGACCTAATGGTGGTGCAAAAGTACTGTGCCATCCCTCATTTCTTTATACCGGTATGTTGCTGACAAAAGAGGAAACGTGTGTAGTTTATTGAAACTTGTGTAGATAAATGGTAAATGGCCTGTATTTGTATAGCGCTTTACTAGTCCCTAAGGACCGCAAAGCGCTTTACACTACATCCAGTCATCCACCCATTCACACACACATTCACACACTGGTGATGGCAGCTACATTGTAGCCACAGCCACCCTGGGGCGCACTGACAGAGGCGTGATAGATGGTATTATATGGTTGATCAAAATCCGACAGTTTTTTTCTCCGTTGGTTTTTCCATCCATTTGGCAAGATCCCAAACACACAATTTCAAATCAAGATTCAACACTCGTTAAGACCCATTGCCACTAATTTATGTAACCGGTTTCTGCTTCTGTTTCCCCATTACACTGACATTTGTGGCAAGTGGAATAATGCTACATAAACACTGTTACATTTAAAGTCCAGTTTTTATATAATTTCACACACTTCATCCATTTGTCCCTGTTTCCTGTCAGAGCTTTGCTGGATTTTTTCCCCCGTATTTCTTAAGGACATGACTTTCACTGTTTATTTGCTGTAGATCCTTTGCAGTCCTGCCACTTCTTCTTTTGGCTCCCACGTGTCTAGCCTTGCCAGTTTTTGAATTGCTTGTGCAAAAATAAGATTCTAGGTTTGTCAAACTGTGCGATCTTTTGTATTTTTTATAGACAAAATTGAAAAATTTACATGTAGACGCCATCTCTTGGCCCATCTCTTAATTCAGTTGCCTTTTTTATGCTTGAATGATTCACAGGTCACTGTTAAATTACTAACCAAATATGAAAATATTCCCTTAAAAATGGTTGGGCACAATGACTGGACTGAGAAAAAGAACGAAAAAGAAACAATGTCCAAAGAAAAACTTTGAAATAGCTTCAGAAAGCCTGGATATGTATTGCTCAAGAATACTTGGAAAAAACCCAATGAAGTTTGGCTCCTTGGAAGCAAAATATAAATGAATGAGGGGTGGCGCAAGACTTTTTCACAGTAGTAGTTGTCAAAGGACGTGAACTGACTCAACAAATACTTAAATAGTACTGTACTGTACCTTTGACTTCACAACAAAATCATACGTTTTCTTCCATAAAACCTTTAAGCCTATGAACATGAGAAAATGTCATCACTTCTTATGGCAATATGTAAGTATAATAAAAGAAGAACACAAGCACACACAAGCACGCATACACTCACCGTCACCCAGACAAAAAACTCACACTCGGCCCATCTGATCTCACCGACGCTCTGTTGTTAGAAGCCTCCTCTCACTCCACGGCCTATCCCAGCACTGCCTTTGAACTCAGCTGCCAAGAAAGTGTAACACCGCGTGCCTCTTTCTTTGACTTTCAGGAATGATCAGGAACATTATAATGATAAAATTAGCAGGGGGTGAGGAGCTGAGTGGGAGCAGAAGGCCTCGACGGAAAGCAAGAAAGAGGCTCGAATATTGTCAGCGTGTTGTTAATAAGCGAGCTGAGGTGTGCGAGTGTGTAAAATTCCTGCGCGTGTGTGAGTATGTGTATACGTCTGTGCACAAATATGAATTCCTCTCTTAGGGAGTGCGTGTTGGTGAGGGTGATGTCAGGCTACATTATGGCTTATTGCTGGGTTGACTGACATGCAGGATTATCGGCTGATGGGATAAATTAAAAGAAAAAAAAAGCTTTCATCAGCATGCGGCTGGAGCCTGAATGTTTGATGTTAGACTGAAGGAGTCATATGCAAGGTGATGGAAAGTGAGAGAGGGCTGGAAGGGAGGCAAGAGGTTGAGTGCCCGATAGATAGACCAAGTTTTCATTTGAACAATCCCTGTTATCTTGCAGATTCTTCACTTCACTCTATGTCTGAGTTGTCACTGTCACCAAAATCCATTAGTGTCTCTAAAACTTGGCTGAGAAAAGATCATATTTAATGAGGCAGTCCACAAGAAAATGCAAGAAATTTAGACTGACACGGTTTCTCTGGTATTTGTCGGACAAATATGGACATTAAAATGTATAGAAGCACTTTTAGGTTTGCTTACATTTCTTGACCAAAGCTATAGTTGCCTGTGTTAGGAAGATATAGTCTGTTACAGTTGTTAGAAAATAAGAGTTCAGATAGTGGGCCACACAAACATGTTATTGGTATGTTCAGCACCACAATGAAAACAAAGCTAAAATTTATGGAAGTTTTGTTCACTACATAATAATTGAGTGCTTTCAACGTAAGTAAATATCCATGAAACATAATCCAGGCTAGATTTACTCTTGAAGATAAATGCATGCGCCGCAAGAAGCTGATTTTGAGTCTTTTGTGACCTCTGGTTTTTTTTTTTGTTTTGTTTTGCTTTTTGTTCACTGCTAGGCCACTTTCTGGGGAACCACAGCGTGCTGGACATCCTGAGGCAGGAGGGCTATGAGATTGTCCACATGCCCTCTGATCATCAAGAGCCAGCCACAGAGTGAGTAAGCAGACAAGAGTGCGCAGTAACAGATGACGGAGCATGTCATTTGATTAAATGACTGTGGTTACAAAGACAAAAACAAAAATAAGTTGCTGAAAAATAGAAAAAATAAGTGGTTGCTTGGATTACTCTTTAGAAAAGCAGTTGTTTGACATTATGGAGTCTAAGTTCTTGATGACGACACATAAATTGCGCTAATTAAATTTGAGTTTTGGATGATTCCGGTTTTGACTGAGTAATCGGGCACTTTAGAGCTATTTAAAACTCTTTACATGTTAAAAGTATGACTTTTTCTAACCAGACAAGATATTTAATGGAAAAAGAAAAAGAGAATGTGATTTTCTATGTGCATGAGATTGATAATGTTATGGCAGTGCAGACTGTGAAGCAGAACATTTGTGCACTCTTACTGTAGATTTTGGCAGGGATACAGATGCACATCCACATGTATCTGTATCGACCCCCCCCCCAACTTAGTCTGTCCACATCCGTCTAATTCTCTTGAGAGTTGAGGCATTTAACCTCAGCAGATTTATTGAAGTGCAGATACAGTCCAAATTGTGCTATGCAAGAATCCTTTGATACCTCATCATCTCCCTCACCTGCCTGCTTCTGCCCCCCCCCACCTTTCTGGTGGCTGCCAAAGGCCACTTGCCAGAGTGGTGGTTCTGTCTGCTTTCACTGCAACATACAAACACATGCATGCATGTATGCAGGATAAATGTAGAGATGCTCAAATTTACAACTATGCAACACATACATGACTCAGAAAGAGTCTTGGCTTCGCTTCTGTGGCCTTCTACAACTCTTCTTCATGTCTGTTAGTGTTCAGGCCCAATCACTGGCACACAGCACCTCCACTCTCACCTAAGGGTTTGATCCATGGGCCTATAAAATAATAAGAGCAGTCACTGGAATCGGAGTGAAAATGGAAAAACAAGGCATACCAAGAACAGTCTTTTTTCTAACAGTAAAAACATCTCATCCCTCCAGCTGGAGCTTTTCACAAACTTCTCACTGCAAATTACAGCTGTAAATGTAGCCTCCCTATCTCTCTCCATCCTGTTTCCAGGCTTGTGGGCTTCAGCCAGTGGTTCATGGTTTAAAAGCTGACAAGTGGACTGACTTACTGTGGTCACGAAACACTTGTGTCTACTGCATGCACGCACACACAAACACACACACACACATGACCACACACTTGCCTGCAAGCTGACACTTCTAGCTCTCCGATACAAGGTGATCTGACAGGCGAGGAAACACACCACAGGATGGCTGGATGAGAGGTGTTTATGAAAGCTGTTAGCCTCAGACCTGGAGTGTTTTGAACCCACTGGCACAATTATATGACTGACAGAGCAGCCCAGAGCTGGGTTTGGCTGTGCAGTAGCTTGACCGCAGGCCTGGAGCTATCATCGCACTGACCAAGCCATCAGGGCCTGGGTGAGACAAGGTTGTTGAAACTTGTGAAAATAGAAAGGCAAACCGACAAATTGATCATGACCGGTGAGACAAAACTGATTATAAGTATTTCAAAAGAAATCGTGACTAAAGCATGCGATTTCTACTGCTGTTTATTTCATTTGAAAGGTCTTGAATGATGTGTAAAACATATTTTTGATGCTCTACTGAAACACAAAGTCACATGCGAGCCATATTGACAGGAAAAGAACAAGAGAGAAGAAAGTATGAGTAATGGCTGGAAGAAAGAGCAGCATGGCAAAAATATTTGAAGACAGGAGATTCTGGGTGGTCTTCTTGGTCAAATGTCAGCTCTGATGCACAATATATTGCCATGAGAGTTCCAACTTCCTCTTACGTTGTCTGCTGGGTCTTTCAACTTTTAAAGGACGCCCTTCTGGTGTTCATGTCCTTGACTGAAGTTATGGGGTGTAAGTGGAAAGCCATGGGGTGGTCAGAAACCACAAACAACACCACTGTCTGGTAGCACATTGGAAATCTTGCGAAACAGTACAGAAATACTAAAAGAAACTATTTTGATCTAATATTTGGGTAAAAGTCTTTCTGTGAGTATTAATAGAACTGAGTCCATCCCCTGTCTGTCCTGTCCTCCCTTGCTCCAGGGCAGCAGGTCCAGACCTCCTTGCAGCACCAGAGTTCAGCAAGGAGAATACAGACACTAGCACAGGATCTCCCATTAGCTGGCCAACCAGTCCAGAGATGGAGCTGGAGCTCGAGGATCCAGAACCTATGCCTGGCCTTGGAGGGGAGGAGCTGCCTCACATGCTGCTCCCTGACAGCTTGAGCCAGCTAGAGGAGTTTGGACGCCATAAACGGCCACGCAAAGCTCACCGTGGCCACGGGAAACCCCGTCTCTTCAGTGACCTGTGGGTTCGCATTGGGGATGGGTGAGATATTTATTATGATTAGTTTGACTGTAGCTGAGTTGTACCTCTTTAAACAAAACATAATAATCTTTTAACAATTGAATGTCTGTAAGGACTGTACTGGCTTGATGACGATTATTAATAAACTCTGGATGTCCCTAAAAGACCACAATGAGATTGGCTGCTGAATATGTACTGGAAATGTTATGCATGTGATTGTTCGGAGATCATGTAAGACTCAGTTCTTTTCCAGTCTAGCTAAATTCTTCATAACCTAATTTCCCCCCCCCCCCTCCTTTCTTCAGCACCACCCCACCACCAAACGTGAGGATAATCAATGGCTATGTGACAGTGGAGCCTCCGCTGACCTACCAAAAGCATCGCAGGCGGATGGAGATCTACGAGATAGATCGAGATAGTTCGCCTTCCTCCACTTCACCAAGTCCCAGCTCAGCCCAGCTAGCTCACAGCAAAGTCACGCTGTCTTGTGCTTTAGCGTGGCTTTTATCACACATATTGTTCACCTCCTGACCAAAAGAAAGTGTTACCTCATGAGAAACATTGGACAATACTTCATCCACACCAGAGCAGTGGAGCGTACCTGATAAAGCCAAACAAGGAGTGATTGTCAGGGAGAAACATCTCAGTCAGGATAAGACGTCTTAACGTGGGACGATCCGTTCTCCACCATAGAGCGAGATCGGCTTCAGGCTGCTGAAATGCCAATGTCTTTAAAAACTTGCCAAGTCTCATAATGTGTGGAATAAGCTCTGTGCTGCGTAAGAAGCAAAACGTGGACTATGTTGAACTGCAGTGGGGTCAAGTCCAAACCTCCTGAAAGTATTGAGATAGAATAACAAACACACAGCACAATGAAGAATTGTAAATTTAAAGAGCTGGAGTCTTTTACCTATAAAAACTGTAATATTATGTAGAAAAATAAGACTGACTTTAATAATGAGAATAGGTCATACTAACAGTTATAACTCTGTGAAAAGAAATGAGTTGAATAAACAAGGTACTGTGTGAGGCATTTACCTTCACACAGAGAAGCACTCAGATGCCACTTTGTAAATTGTGCATTTTGTTCATAAAGAAATATTGTATATTTATTATTTCTGGAAGAAAGAGTATATTTTCTTGCTTTTTGAAATAAAACGTAAATAAATACAGTCTGTAAACTAATCGAGTGCATCAAGCGGTCTTTCTTTCAGCAGACATAAACTGTGTGTTTAAGAATACGTTTATAACACCACCATCTGTTCTTTATTTAAAGTGTGAAATTATGGATATTTTTTGTCATAATCTAATGAAGCATATACTTCGGAATTGTCAAAAACATTCAAATATGACTATTATCTGGAAAAATGAATAGAAACTATAGTGTAACTACACGTTTTTAACTAGGGAAACAAGCAACATGTGAGTTGAGTCTGCCACCTGCTGGCTAATACAAGGAAAACATGGGGAAAGCAAACCTCATAATGAGTCATCTGTCAGTTGTGTCTCCATTATAAAGCTCACAAACAGGACTGTGCAACTGTGAAATGCAACTTTGAGAAATGTGAAAAGTATATATTACCACACAGCAACGGACAAAACAAAAATAAGGATATTAGCCATTAATCAAAGGTCATACTACATTTAAACATTTTAACAAAAGGAGGAATACGGAGGCCGTTGAGCTCTGAGTGTTAACAATTAACCACAAATATCGAACTCCATCACTTCCCTTTTTGAAGCTGCTTGAATGATGAAGCTTCACTTTAAATATTTTAAGATTGGATGCTTCCTCTAAGCTCCATAAAACATAAGAATCCTTTCAGTCGTCACATACTGCGATTAACTAGGTTACAACTTCTCTTAAGGGAATCGTTGGCAACAGACAAAGTGACTATTCATTTCAATAAACTTGTTGTTGTTGATGATGATGATGATGATGATGATGATGATGATGATGATGATGATGATGATGATGATGATACTGTAGTGTATTATATTGCAGTGCTCACAATATCAGTAAAGTTCATCATGTTTGCCGTGATCTTGTTGCGAGGGAACAAAATAATTCTGTGCAAACTGTGTTGATTCCTGATCGGCTTCCTCCTCTGCTATCTCATAGCAAATGTAAATGCAGTAAGACTGCGTGATTTACAAGGACATTTACAAGTGCAATAAAAGTTGGAAAACAGAAGAACATTTTAAAAATTATTATATAAAACAAAGACAACTTTCAGCAGAAACTGCGACACTCTGAATTCTCACAGCAGCAACTGAGACAAGTTTCATTAATGATGCCCCAGTTCAATTATGTATGATGACCAGAATGCACAAATAATGTTGAATGAGCTCATCTACATGGAATTCAGTTTTATTCCAACATAACATTTCCCAGAGTTCGCAACAAGATTGTCTACTTCGAAACAAGGCGGCACTTTGAGAGTAAACACGGTGAAAGTAGTTAAAGAAAAGATGAGACATAATAATAATAATAATAATAATAATAATAATAATAATAATAATAATAATAATAATAATAATAATAATAATAA